GGGAATGTTAAGTGGTATAGCCACTTTGGAAGACATTTTTGCAGTTCCTCAAAAAGTTAAATATAGAATTACCATATGGCTTAGAAATTACACTCCCCTGTATATACCCAAAAGATTGGAAAGCAGGTACTCAAATACTGGTACATGAATATTCATAGCAACACTCTTTCATAATAGCCAAAAAGTGACCCTAACCTGTCGACATATGAATGTATAAATAGAATGTAGTCTATCCATACAGTGGGCTATTATTTAGCCATGAAAAAGAATGAAGCACTGATACATCCTGTAATGTGGATGAATCTGGAAAATCTTATACTAAATGAAAGAGGCCAGGCACAGAAGGTCACATATTGTATGATTCCAACTTATGTGAAATATCCAGCATGGTTAAATCTGTAGAAACAGAAAGCAGATAAGTAGTCACCAGGAACTGAGGGTAGAGGGGTCACAGGGAATAGCTGCTTACTGGGTATGTGGTTTTACTATAAAGTGATGGCTTGGAACTAAGTAGAGATGGTGGTTGCACAACACTGTGAATGCACTAAAAGCCATCGAATTGTTTGTTTTAAAATCATTAATATTATATCGATTTCTTTTTTAAAATATTTTATTTACTTACTGTATTATTTAATTTTGGTGAGGGAGGAGGTAATTAGGTTTTATTTATTTGTAGAGGAGGTACTGGGGATTGAACCCAGGACCTCACGCATGCTAAGCACGTGCTCTACCACTTGAGCAGTAGCCTTCCCCTTGTCAAGTTCACTTCAGTAAGAAAACTTAGGATAGTGATGATGCAGGCTGGGTATAGTGGCCGAAGGAAGATTCTGAGGAGCTTCTGGGTCACTGGTAACGCTGTTTCTTAATCAGGATGTGGAATATACAAGTGCACTCAGTATGTGAAAATTCCTTGAGCTGTACACTTAGGATCTGATACTTTGCTGGATTTATATTATACATTTTTAAAAAGTAAAAATGAAAAAAATTGCCCAGGACAGTGCCTGGCACTATACACCAACCACTGCTCAGTCCTCAAAGATGGCTCAATTGCCAAATCCTCAGGCAACAGATTTTTTTTTTTAATGAGAAAACTGATGGCAAATGGGCATGGGTGTTTAATATTTGAAAGAGTCTTTCTGCTTTATTTATTTAATGCCGTGCTAACTGGTAAAATATCCTGTTAAATCCTTTCTATGGCAGTTCTAAAAGCATTTTCGCCTGTCGGGTAGTTTGTGGTGCTAACTCAGGCAATGTCCTGTCTAGGGGCACAGACCCACCCCTCTCACTGTGGTTGTGGGAGGACCTCTCGGGGGTGCCTGGAGACCATGAGGATATTCTGTATGGCTTTGTACCACAGCTCCTCACCTTAAGGACTCCAAGAAGGAGTTCCGGGTACCACAGGCTTCCCAGATCTCAGTACAGAATGTGCTCATGGAGGACGCACTGCATGCTGGCCATGTTCTGGCCCCAAATGTCTCTTCCAGGCCCTCAGATAAGCCAGTATCTCTCCCATCTTAAGGCCTTTCTTTGCTCATGTTGTCCCCACTGCCCACGGTCCAGCCTCCCCACCTCCGGACATGTTGGCTCCTTCACTCTTAAGAGAGCAGGTAAAGCTCCACGTGGCAGAGGGGACCCAGGACCTGCTTTAATCAGATGGGATAAGACACTCAGACATGGAACTGACTATCACGAAGAAAGAAGTTTTTATACAAAAGTTTCCAAGAAACAGGAGGCAGGCCAAGCTATGCAGAGCCACTGGGGGAAGTACCAATTTTGTCAGGAGGCAGAGGAAGCAAGGGGAAAATGTAGGCATGGGTCTTTATTAAGGTTTCCGTGGGAAGGAGAGGGCGAGACAGGGCAAGCAGGCTCCAAATGTGCTAGTCTGCATTCTTCTTCTTCTTCTTTTGTTTTTTTAAATTTGATGGAGGGAGTGGGGACTGAACCCAGGACCTCATGCATACTAAGCATGTGCTCTACCACTGAGCTGTTACCCTCCCCACCTCCAGATGTGCTAGTTTGGATCATTCAGTGGACTCTAGGTGTGGGGGTGTCCCTAGCTGTCGGGCTGTGGATTAGAGCAGGTAACAGTGATCCTGAGTCAGGGGGGTGGGCTCTGGGGAGGCTGGTTTGCATCTGAAAAGGCGAGGTAATTTTCTCTCTAGGAATTGGCTAGTCCTGGGAAGAGCAGTCGCTCCAGGTGTTGTCCAGATGTCAAAGCACCAGAATACAGAAAATAGGAGACATTTTACTACAGAAGCCTTCCTAGAACAATCATGTTTATTGTATTTTCTTTTCCCCCCTTTTTTCTTTTCTTTTGTATTGAAGCACGTTTACAATGTTGTGTTAGTCTCAAGTGTACAGCAAAGCGATTCAGTTCTACATATATCTATATATTCTTTTTCATTGTAGGTTATTACAAGGTACTGAACAGAGTTCCCTGTGTTTGTGTTTCCTTCGTTAGAATGCGAGCTCTGGGTAGGGGCCGTGTGTGTCTTTTTCACTGGCGTATTTCTAGTGTCTAGAACTTAGTAGATGCCCAATAGTGAATGAATAAGTGAATGAAATTATGTTTGCTTTGGCAAACTCTGAAATGTTAAGATCTCTCTACTAATGCCCTAATTGTGCACGTGTGTGTGTATGTGTGTTTAAGTTGGACATACCGGTCTCAGCTGCAGACAGGCCTGCAACAGAGTGTGTTCTTCCCCTGCTGGTCTGCCCTCTCAGGTCTCCCAAATGTTTGGACAGATGTTCCCACCCATGACTCAGCAATAAAGTGCCGCCTGGAGGGGAAACGGGGGATGAGGGAGGCTGCTGCACCTGTAGCGTTCGTGCTATTTTCTTACCAACTCCTTTTTTGGGAGGAAGAGAGCATTTTTGCTTTGAGAGCATCAAGAGAGTGGGAAGGTTGCACTTTTGCTAAAAGGATGTGGTGTCTCCAGCTGACCTATTTTCTAGACCAGATCTCTACTGGGATGTAATGCTTGTGCTAATTCCTGTAGAATTAACTCCCTTAGCGTGTAACTCTCCATACTGGCCTAATGTGCAGCTGGCATTGCCCCAAACATGGACGAATTCCCTTTGGCTGTGGAGCCAAGTAAGTGACTTCTATGACTGGAAGAAAATGAGGTCGGTAGGCTGCTAATTCCCAGCTGCAGGAAAAAAAAAACGAAGAAATGAATAAAAAAGTGAAGGGAAGGAGAGAAGGAGATGCGTGGAGACAGCAGGGGGCTGGGTGGGCCCTCCCCACACTGGCATCGGGCCCTCCCCACACTGGCATCGTCATTTTTTCCCTTAGAAATTTGATGGGTGGAAAAGGGCATTGGTTGTTGACTTCAATGCTTTTCTTTGTTCACTAGTGAACAGAACTTTATTTTTTGTGGGACGTGTGTGGAATAAGCTTACTGGGTAAACTTTGCCTCTTGTGATGGGCTGCCGCATCCTCTGGTGATCATTAAATCCACTTCTCTTGGGAGGAGGGTATAGCTCAGTGGTGGAGTGCATGCCTAGCATGCACAAGGTTCTGGGTTCAATCCCCAGTACCTCTGTTTAAAAAAATAGACAAATAAATAAACCTGAAATTGCCTACCCCTGCTTAAGAACAAAAAAGGGAAAACATTTTTTTAAAAAATCCGCTTCTCTTATTAGTTTGTAAGAACTCTTTACACTCCAGTTTCTGGGTATGTTAATCTCTTGCGATCATTTTTTGCGCCTCCTCATTTCGAGAAGTTGCAGTGGCTTTGCGGGTATTTGAACATTATCAGTTAGCGCGGGCGCACACATCACACATCTGTGGCTGGAGTCTAGTTTTGAATTTCATGCTGGCGAGAAAAACTCTTGTCACTGGGATGATAAATTTGCTTCCGTCAAGAGTCTTTGGTTGAGCAGGGCTGAGATTGCTTTACGAGCTTGGGTGGCTCTGTGACACCTTTGCCATTGGGTGAAGGGACAGCAGGCAGCCGGCAAAGCCCAGGGTGACAGGGAGAATAGCGATGGGAACTCAGACCCAGGGACAGGAGCCTCCTAACTTGCAGTGAGGTCTTGGCAAGAACTGGAATGTCTCTGGGGCTTGGGGACTGATCTGTTCTAAAAAAGTGAAGGGATGATGTTTAAGGGGTTACGCTACACATTTACAGAGGTTGCCTGTGGGGAGGGAAGGCAGAACGGAGGTTAGACGCCAAGGGAACTTGTACTTTTCCTTCCATCTACTTCTGCACCACTTGGGCTATCAGAATCTCTATGTATTTGTGAATTTCCCCAATATTTTATTATGAAAAACCTCAAGCATAAAGAATGTTCGAGAATTATGAAAAAATTAAAAAATTAAATAAAAATAAAAATTAATTAATTAAAATAATAAAAAATTAAAAACAAATTATACACGAACACCCATCCACCTGCCACCTAGAGTCCCCCACCACTAACATTACTATACCTGCTTTGTCACTGATCCACCCACCTGTCCATCCCTTGACCTACCCTCCAATTCAGCTGATGTTTTAAAATTTATTTTTTATTTTATTTATTTCTGCTATTTTTAGAGAGAGAGGTAATTAGGTTTGTTTGTTTGTTTGTTTATTTTAGTGGAAGTCCCGGGGATTGAACCCAGGACCTCATGCATGTTAAGCAAGTGCTCTACCACTGAGCCATACCCTCCCCCACCTTCTGATTTTTTGATGCATTTCAACGTTGCAGATCTATATTCACAAAATATGTATACAATTAGCGTTTCAGTCTTTTCATAAGGAGAAATGTTTAAGTCAAACGATCCTTAAGTTTACATCCAACTTCAAAGGTTACAGTATGGCACTCTTCCCAAAACGTCTCTAACAAAAAGATTTCTGGCCCTTCACTGAGGAAGGTATTTTCCCTCAATTCCTTTGATATAAGTAAAATGCAGTTTTGGTTCAAAAATGAGAAAATAGAGACAAAAAGATAAAAACGTTCATCTCACCCAAAGAGCTAATTTTGCCATCTTTAGATCTGGATTATTTTTTTTCCAGTGCAAATATATGTAAGTAGTTAAACAAATGGCGTCACACTCTGTCACCTGAACAAAGACCGGTGCTGAGACTGTGGATGGGTACACACTGCCACACCGTTTGTGAAGTGAGTTTCTCACAGCAACCTGTCCACGTGATGCTGTCACCACCTGAGTGTGATGGATGAGGAGACCAAGGCTGAGAGAGACAAGAAACTTGCCCAACATCGCCCAGCAGGTAAGCAGCAGAGCTGGAACTGGGACCCCAGTCTCATTAACACAAAGAACATACACATAGCTCATACTATTTTTATTCCACCCAAGAGGAAATTAGCATTCTTGTACCTGATCTAAGAAATGGATACACGATTTTGGATCATGAAGGTTGTTTTCAGGTACAAAATTCATGTTTAGAGATATTTGGCTACATTAAGAGAAGGAGGTATGTTAGAGATGTGGCTGTCACCACGGGGACTGCAGCCCGACCAGCTTCAGCCAAGCCAAGAAGGGGAGCCAGTGTCTGGCGTGGGAGATGCAGCTGGGCCTCAGGGAGGGACCGAGCAAGGGCCCAAGGGCCCAGGGACCGCCCCCGCTGCTCGCCACCCTCCTCCCTGAATGTCTGCTTTGCTCTTGCCTTTGTGGGATGGTTTTCTCTGCTTGTCTAGCCTGCTTTAGAGAATAGATCCCGTCAGCTCCAAATCTAAACGTCTCAGCTAGCCTTAGGCAGCAGCTCCGACTCCCTCTCAGCTCTAACTGGCAATGCTAGGAGTAAGAAAATCGGGTTGGCCTAGCTTGAGTCAAGGCTCTGTCCCTGGTCTTGTAAGCGACAGCCAGGTGAAGGGGCGCCCCAGCAGTAACCTGGCCGATGGGAGGTCGGGGGCCCGATGGGGGAGGGGAAAGAGAGGAAACGTCCCGCAGAAGCGGGTGACCGGCTCGGGGCGGGGCAGGCACCCCAACAGACACCCCTCGAAAGAACAGCTGGAGCAGAAGGCCAGCAATCCAAAAGCCACCCGGCCTCGCGTCCTGCCTGCCCCGCGCGCCGCTGGAGCCGGGTCGCCTGCGGGCAGGGCGCGCAGGGCAGGCGGAGTCCTTAGGGGAAGCAGGGACAGTACGAGGACGGCTTTCGGGGGCTCTGGGGACATCTGCGCGTGCCGTGTGTCGTGAGATGAAGGGCTGAGGGGCTCAGGTTGGTCCCTGAATTAGTCTGCCCCGGGCTGCCACAACACGGGACCACAGATGGGCGCGCTGGGGGCTGGGGTGGGCTTAAACAACACCATCGAGTGTCTCATGGTTCAGGAGGCTGGAGGTTCAAGATCAGGGCGTCCGTAGAGTTGTTCCCTCACAGTCCTGTGAGGTAGACTCTCTCCTCGGCTTGCAGATGGCGGTCTTCTTCACGTGGCATCCTCCGCACAGATCTGTTTCCCCTTTTTATAAGGACACCAGCAATATTGGATTAGAGCTCACCCTAATGATCTCATTTTAACTTTTTAAAAATTTTTTATTAAAAATGTTTTTTTTAATTGTATTAAAACACTTAAAATTGAAGCATAGTCAGTTTACAGTGTGTCAGTTTCTGGTGCACAGCATGATGTTTCAGTCATCCGTATGCAGACATATATTCCTTTTCATATTCTTTGTCATTACAGGCTGCTACAAGGTACTGAATACAGTTCCCTGTGCTCTACAGTAGGCACTTGTTGTTTATCTATTTCACAGGTAGTACTTAGTATCTGCAAATCTCAAACTCCCAATCGATCCCTTCTCATCTCCTCCCCCACCCCAGTAACCGTAAGTTTGTTTTCTATGTCTGTGAGTTTGTTTCTGTCTTGTAAACAAGTTCATTGGTGTCTTTTTTTAGATTCCACATATAAATGATATCATATGGTATTTTTCTTTCTCTTTCTGGCTTACTTCATTTGAATGATGATCTCCAGGTCCATCCATGTTGCTAAAAATGGCAGTATTTTATTCTTTTTTAATGCTGGAGTAGTATTCCATTTATAAATATACCACAGCTTCTTTATCCAGTCATCTATTGATGCACGTTTAGGTTGTTTCAATGTCTTGTCTATTGTAAAGGTTGGGGCGCATGTATCTTTTTAAATTTAGGTTCCCTCTGGATGTATGCCCAGGAGTGGGACTGCTGGATCACAGGATAAGTCTATTTTTAGTTTTCCATACTGTTTTCCATAGTCTCTGCACCAAACTACATTCCCACCAACATCGTAGGTGGGTTTCCTGTTCTCCATACCCTCTCCATCATTTATCCTTTGGACTTTTGAATGATGGCCATTCTGGTTGGTGTGAAGTGATACCTTGTATATTGATCTGCATTTCTCTGATAATTAGTGATATTGAGCATCTTTTCATGTGCCTATTGGCCATCCTATGTCTTCACTGGAGAATTGCTTGTTTATGTCTTCTGCCCATTTTTAGATTGGGTTGTTTGTTTTTTTCTTATTAAGTTTTATGAGTTGTTTACATATTCTGGAAATTAAGCCCTTGTCAGTCTCATCTTTTGCAAATATTTCCTCCCATTCCGTAAGTTGTCTTTTTGTTTTGCTTATGGTTCCCTTTGCTGTGCAAAAGCTTATAGGTTTAATTAGGTCCCATGTGTTTATTGTTGCTTTTATTTCTATTGCCTGGGTAGACTGCCCCAGGAGAACCTTGCTAAGATTTCTGTCAGAAAATGTTTTGCCTATGTTTTCTTCTAGGAGGTTTATCGTGTCTTGTCTTATGTTTAAGTCTTTAAGCCAAGGGCCTCCATTTTGCAAAGTTCAATAACCACTTGTTCAGTGAAGGACTAGGAGAGGCCAGGGCCTTCTCAGAGGTTCCGGGAGAAGGGCGGGAGCTTGAATCAAAGGTGGGTCTTCTTGGCAAAACAGGCCCAAGTCTCCAGCCCAGAAAGCTCCTCTCTCCTCTTGGAGAGGCGAATGAATTGGTTAAACATGAGCTCTTCCTGTGTGTGTTTGAGGGGGATGGGCGGGTACAAATACGCATGCGTGTCTGCGCACAAGCCCACCTGTGCGTGTGTGTGTTGGGTCCTTTCACTCTGAGTCCTTTATGAGACACCAGCACTCTTATTATTCTTACTCAGAGAGTCAGGTGCTTGTAGATAAAAGCCTTGACTTTGGGGATTTTTGTATTTCCGGTGAGGGCTTCAAGACCCTAGGTTATTCATCAAAGCCAAGGATACTTGCCTCTCCTGAGACAACAGAATGCGGCCTCTTTAATGGTGAGAGTCACAGGGTGGAGAGGAAGTACCGAGAATAGTGATGTCTCAAGATATTCTGCCTCATCAGAATCAACAGATGTAATGATTCATGTGTCTCAGCGCGTGTTCAGAGAAAAGAAAAAAGCTGAAAGAGGCAGAATCGAGCAGCGCTGGCACGACTTGATCTCCTCTCTTCTTCCCTGTGAAACGACACGTGTCATTTTTGTTTAAGCCACTCTTCCTCACGGCGCTGGTGACTTCCTGATCTGAGCAGAAGGAAAAAGTGTCCTCTTTGGAGTGATACTGATTCTGATTACGTCTTTGAGTGTCCTGGATGATACTGTAATAAGCAGAGGAACGGATCAGAATGTAAACAAATGATTCAGCCCTGGAGACTGGCAGTTGGCCCAGTCCCCACGATCACTGTGGGTGCAGATCGTTTTCCACTGTCAGGGAGGGGAAAGCACTTTGTACCTTCATACAAAATAAAAAGCAGACAGTCATGCTGCCTGGTTTCAGTCTCTAAAGAACACAATCTTGAGCATTGCCTGTAAGCCTGGACTCCCAGCAGGAACCCCCTCGTCCCGGGCTTTTGGGTGAATGTCTGAGACTTTAACACGACGTCTGGGTATGAGGAGCCGGTCTTTTTCCATCATGTAGAGAGAGATGTCAACATGGTGATCTTGGGGATTTTTGTCACGTTAGCTATGTATTAGATCTTTCCTTGGGTGAGCTAGTCTTATTGAAGGACTCCCTTGCCTTTTTGCAAATAAAAATCTTTTGTTTGTTTGTTTTGGAATACTTTTTGCCTCTGAACCTTGCCTTGACAGATCAAATGAATGAATTTGATTTCACAGTTTTGAAAAGCATACATGTTGCTTTTTGTAGAACCACGCGGAGCATTTAAGGGGCCCAGAGCCCCAGTGTTTGTTTTGCCACCGTTCCATCCCAGTGCCAGCACTCTCCTGCCCCATAAACCTGGCATCAAGGCCCTGTCTGCCCAGGCGCAAGGGACAGGAACAGCCTCACTGGAAGCATAGGATCACCAGGGTCTGCCTCATTTGTGTACTCCATGCAACTGACAGTGCTCAGCTTCATCTCCTTAAAGGAGTGTCTAGCCCTGGGGTTGCAGGTGGGCAAGGTCCTGGAGGACTCTGGTGACCTTCAAACCAAGTCTCCATCCCCTAGGGCCATTTGGAGTGGATCCATGTGTTTGGAAGGTGATCCAGAGTTGTGTAGCCGGATCCCTGGACCAGCCATAGCCTATTTGAAAGCACCTCTGCACTGCAAATCCAGGGCTGTGTGCGTCACTGCTGTGTGACATCCCTCGGGGCTCCTGAACCCGGGAGGCTGCCTTCCCCGGAGGAGGCTGTACAGGAGTCCTCTCCTCTCTGAAGGATTGCCATCTTGTCGGTGTATCTCTGTATCAAGTCACGGCGACGGCGTTTGTGGGGGCCCCTCCCCACGCCCATGGTCTCAAGGCATCATGCCTGCATTCCACCGTAATTGAAGCCTTTTCCCAGCGGCAGGGGTTTGCCAGCAGAGCACCTGCCGCGTGCCTGCTGTTCGCCTCCAGTGCGAGGACCTGAGTGCGGACACTCCCCACGTGGACCCTCAGTCCCGGCGAGAAGAGCTGCGGGCAGCCCTGGGGAAAGGCTCTTCCTGCTCCACTCCTGCCTCCCCACTCTCTCGTCCACCTTGGCTGCCCAGCCCACTGTCCACCCCTCCAGCACTCGCCTGCCTGCCTTTCTAACCCATCCATCCCTGGGTGCCGGGGAATGGGGCGGAACGTCCCTGCCCTCAGACCAGGTCAGCGCGTCCTCAGCAGGCGGGTTGCGTGTAATTTGTCGTCCTAAGAGTAAACCGTCTGGTGGTAAGCGATTGAGTGGGTGTATACAGAGTTAAAATGATCCCTTTACTAATGTCACTCCTGCTTGCTGGTCAGTGAGCTTTCCACCTTTCCTGAGACGGAGGGAAGGGCTGAATTTACGGGGTCGGGTTGTGGAGCCGGGGATTAGCTGGGCCCTGGCGCACCTGGGGAGGCTGAATCAGAGGTGCTCCTGGCGTCTCCCCTGAGCCCTTGCCCTGGTCACGCAGCCTCCAGCCTTCGATCGCGTCCCGTGGGGGCCCCCGCCCGGCCGAGGCGCGGGCCCGCCGGGACCTGCGGGGACCGG